TACCAAGTTTTAAAGCCATTCGTTAAGATTTGTTTAAGTTATCGTGGGGACAAAAAAGTGTCTACAGACGACAGACAGACGGACAGGTTTTCAAAACCTACTTTTTTGGCATCAGGAGGTCACAAAACGTGGAGATTCACTGGAATTAGAAAAAAGTCAAAATCGACCAAAATGAATACTTTCTTTTTTATACACTGAGAGACCTTCAGCACCGTAGCCGACTTTCGACAGGCGGCTGCGGAGCATTCTGTTGGTAAGCTACGAGACTATACGTTTGGGCTGCTGCGGTACATTTTTGGGCGCGTGTTTGCCAAAAAGTTGTACAGCTACAAACCAAAGGTGGCGTCCCCACAACTTCGGTGAGCTACTCACCAACATTCTGGACAGTCTCGCTCCCAAAATTGTACCGCCGCACACCAAAACCATAGTGGCGCTGCTGTCACTTACCTTGTTCCGCTGCAGTCCAAAAGGTCTCTCAGTGTAATGAAAATGTAAAAATTGCTTTTGTCAAAATATAAGGGAGGATGGGTCAAGGATAGTTAGTTACTGTTATGCTTAGACGGCTTACTCAAAAATCGCGTTATTCATGGTATATTTGCGTCTTAACACCAATAGATGATAGTAAACATTGGAAGTCAATCTGCCACTATTTACGAAGTCAGGAGTTTATTTTTTGTAAAAAGTCTGTTTTGATAAAATGTCAACGTATTGTTTATCATATTGTTGTATATTAGGGCTTTCGAATATTTATTTACGAAAGTGTTTTCCGGAGTGGAATTTCCTGCTGAACACAAATATCGTATTTATTTTCAAAATTAATTCACGTCGTTCTTTAAAATTGAGAAAAAACTGAAATATGGGCTCATGGGGCAAGGATTGTTAGAGCTATTGCGGCTCGATAAAATCCTGCTAATGCAACTGCAAATTATAAAAAAATGTTTAATTGTTCTTTTTAGGTTGATATACATAATGGTGCGTAATTATATACGGAAAACGAAGCTTATTGACCAAGAAATTGGTGATCATCTGAAGAAAATTGGTTAAATCTCAGATTCTAGTTCAGACGAATTTTTATGCATTAATTAATATTTAGAAAATGTTCAAAACATGTTTTTAATACTTGATATATCAATACTGAATAGGCTAAATCCAATAAGATAAAAAAACGAAAATTTACTGATTTTCTATGACATTTTTAGCATTCGGATTGTTTTACCTATCCTTGCTACCTACCTACCTACCTACCTACCTACCTACCTACCTACCTACCTACCTACCTACCTACCTAACCTAACCTAACCTAACCTAACCTAACCTAACCTAACCTAACCTAACCTAACCTAACCTAACCTAACCTAACCTAACCTAACCTAACCTAACCTAACCTAACCTAACCTAACCTAACCTAACCTAACCTAACCTAACCTAACCTAACCTAACCTAACCTAACCTAATCTAATCTAATCTAATCTAATCTAATCTAATCTAATCTAATCTAATCTAATCTAATCTAATCTAATCTAATCTAATCTAATCTAATCTAATCTAATCTAATCTAATCTAATCTAATCTAATCTAATCTAATCTAATCTAATCTAATCTAATCTAATCTAATCTAATCTAATCTAATCTAATCTAATCTAATCTAATCTAATCTAATCTAATCTAATCTAATCTAATCTAATCTAATCTAATCTAATCTAATCTAATCTAATCTAATCTAATCTAATCTAATCTAATCTAATCTAATCTAATCTAATCTAATCTAATCTAATCTAATCTAATCTAATCTAATCTAATCTAATCTAATCTAATCTAATCTAATCTAATCTAATCTAATCTAATCTAATCTAATCTAATCTAATCTAATCTAATCTAATCTAATCTAATCTAATCTAATCTAATCTAATCTAATCTAATCTAATCTAATCTAATCTAATCTAATCTAATCTAATCTAATCTAATCTAATCTAATCTAATCTAATCTAATCTAATCTAATCTAATCTAATCTAATCTAATCTAATCTAATCTAATCTAATCTAATCTAATCTAATCTAATCTAATCTAATCTAATCTAATCTAATCTAATCTAATCTAATCTAATCTAATCTAATCTAATCTAATCTAATCTAATCTAATCTAATCTAATCTAATCTAATCTAATCTAATCTAATCTAATCTAATCTAATCTAATCTAATCTAATCTAATCTAATCTAATCTAATCTAATCTAATCTAATCTAATCTAATCTAATCTAATCTAATCTAATCTAATCTAATCTAATCTAATCTAATCTAATCTAATCTAATCTAATCTAATCTAATCTAATCTAATCTAATCTAATCTAATCTAATCTAATCTAATCTAATCTAATCTAATCTAATCTAATCTAATCTAATCTAATCTAATCTAATCTAATCTAATCTAATCTAATCTAATCTAATCTAATCTAATCTAATCTAATCTAATCTAATCTAATCTAATCTAATCTAATCTAATCTAATCTAATCTAATCTAATCTAATCTAATCTAATCTAATCTAATCTAATCTAATCTAATCTAATCTAATCTAATCTAATCTAATCTAATCTAATCTAATCTAATCTAATCTAATCTAATCTAATCTAATCTAATCTAATCTAATCTAATCTAATCTAATCTAATCTAATCTAATCTAATCTAATCTAATCTAATCTAATCTAATCTAATCTAATCTAATCTAATCTAATCTAATCTAATCTAATCTAATCTAATCTAATCTAATCTAATCTAATCTAATCTAATCTAATCTAATCTAATCTAATCTAATCTAATCTAATCTAATCTAATCTAATCTAATCTAATCTAATCTAATCTAATCTAATCTAATCTAATCTAATCTAATCTAATCTAATCTAATCTAATCTAATCTAATCTAATCTAATCTAATCTAATCTAATCTAATCTAATCTAATCTAATCTAATCTAATCTAATCTAATCTAATCTAATCTAATCTAATCTAATCTAATCTAATCTAATCTAATCTAATCTAATCTAATCTAATCTAATCTAATCTAATCTAATCTAATCTAATCTAATCTAATCTAATCTAATCTAATCTAATCTAATCTAATCTAATCTAATCTAATCTAATCTAATCTAATCTAATCTAATCTAATCTAATCTAATCTAATCTAATCTAATCTAATCTAATCTAATCTAATCTAATCTAATCTAATCTAATCTAATCTAATCTAATCTAATCTAATCTAATCTAATCTAATCTAATCTAATCTAATCTAATCTAATCTAATCTAATCTAATCTAATCTAATCTAATCTAATCTAATCTAATCTAATCTAATCTAATCTAATCTAATCTAATCTAATCTAATCTAATCTAATCTAATCTAATCTAATCTAATCTAATCTAATCTAATCTAATCTAATCTAATCTAATCTAATCTAATCTAATCTAATCTAATCTAATCTAATCTAATCTAATCTAATCTAATCTAATCTAATCTAATCTAATCTAATCTAATCTAATCTAATCTAATCTAATCTAATCTAATCTAATCTAATCTAATCTAATCTAATCTAATCTAATCTAATCTAATCTAATCTAATCTAATCTAATCTAATCTAATCTAATCTAATCTAATCTAATCTAATCTAATCTAATCTAATCTAATCTAATCTAATCTAATCTAATCTAATCTAATCTAATCTAATCTAATCTAATCTAATCTAATCTAATCTAATCTAATCTAATCTAATCTAATCTAATCTAATCTAATCTAATCTAATCTAATCTAATCTAATCTAATCTAATCTAATCTAATCTAATCTAATCTAATCTAATCTAATCTAATCTAATCTAATCTAATCTAATCTAATCTAATCTAATCTAATCTAATCTAATCTAATCTAATCTAATCTAATCTAATCTAATCTAATCTAATCTAATCTAATCTAATCTAATCTAATCTAATCTAATCTAATCTAATCTAATCTAATCTAATCTAATCTAATCTAATCTAATCTAATCTAATCTAATCTAATCTAATCTAATCTAATCTAATCTAATCTAATCTAATCTAATCTAATCTAATCTAATCTAATCTAATCTAATCTAATCTAATCTAATCTAATCTAATCTAATCTAATCTAATCTAATCTAATCTAATCTAATCTAATCTAATCTAATCTAATCTAATCTAATCTAATCTAATCTAATCTAATCTAATCTAATCTAATCTAATCTAATCTAATCTAATCTAATCTAATCTAATCTAATCTAATCTAATCTAATCTAATCTAATCTAATCTAATCTAATCTAATCTAATCTAATCTAATCTAATCTAATCTAATCTAATCTAATCTAATCTAATCTAATCTAATCTAATCTAATCTAATCTAATCTAATCTAATCTAATCTAATCTAATCTAATCTAATCTAATCTAATCTAATCTAATCTAATCTAATCTAATCTAATCTAATCTAATCTAACCTAACTATTTATGCTCCATCCTCCCCTAGTGTTTTATCCATTATCTAAAAAACTTGTAGAAAAATATTTTTATTTTTGTTGAAAAATCATATGTGTATTTACATTCTACAATCGAAATCAATAATAATAATCAATAGTTTTCGTTTTTTGTGGAAACTATTGATTGTACAAAAAAATGTTTGTATAAAAAATATTACTTTTTTTAATGTTCTTTAACTTGTACAGAGTTTTTCCCAAAAATGTTTTCGAGCCCACCGTGATTGTACATTGTCCAATTTTTTCAGTTTCATTTTACCCCTGTTTCTATCTCCTAAAATTTTTATTTTTTTTAACCCCTTTTGTAATACGGCCTCTCAAATTAATATTTTTTGTTTTATTATTTTTTTTATTTAATTAAAAAATCAATAATAAGAGAACATTTATTAATAATAAGTGGACGATGAGTTTTCAAATTTTAAGCATTTAAGTAATTTTTGAAGTTAATAATATTTATTTATTTTTATAGAAAAACTTGCGTGGCCAATGAGATGGACTGTGACTCTATTACTCTTCATAGGTGTGGCTTTACTAATAATAGTCCTACCATTTTCTTTATTTGGAGGATCTTTAGGATTTGGTATTGGGCCGCTTTTTCATTTTACTTTAGGCCGACAAAAAGAGAAAATACCAGTTTGCGATGTTAAATCGCCTGAGAGAATTGAGTTAATTCGAGAGGTAAATTTCTTTGTTCAAATAAATAAATTATTATCAATTAATATAATACGTGTTGCTATTAAATTACATTGATTAATAAAGTAAAAAATAGTATATTGAGCAACAAGGATCTAAAGGCAAATTGTTATTTTGCTAGAGAGTTATGCTGGGTGATGTCTCAGAGTTTTCTTATTTTTTGTTTATTGGTAGTATTTTAACCCTCCTGCGTAAAAGTTTTCACCCAATAAGTCGTTTCCAAATGCACGCATTTTTCTAATTGTTAAATTTACACATTAACTGGTATCTAGGGGGTTTGCGGGGTTGCTGATTACAAATCTGAAGTCAGATTTAAAAAATTTTGAAAATTCTAAATGGCAGATCCAATACGGAGAACGAATTTTGAAAAATATCATTGGTTTTTCCTAAACCTGTAATTTTAAGAATTTTACGAGTCACTAATTACAAATCTGAATTTTATTTAAAAAATTTTGAAAATTCAAAATATATGGTCCAATATGGTGGACAAATTTTGAAAAAATCATGGGATTTTCCTAAACTTGAATTTCTAAAGGTTTTTCAAGTCGCTGATTATACGAATCTGAAGTCAAATTTAAAAAATTTTGAAAATTCATAATGGCGGATCCAATATATTTTTTCAAAATATGTCCGCCATATTGTATTCAAAATTTTGAGTTTCGAATTTCTGACATCAGATTTGTAACCAGAGACCCCAATAAACCCCAAGATACCCACTTTTACGAAAATACATTATTTTTTTCTTCAATCCCAAATTTTTTTCAAAATACGTCCGCCATATTGAATTTAAAATTTTGAATTTCTGACATTAGATTGGTAACCAACGACCTCAGAAACCCCAATATAACTACCCAGCAAGAAGGAGTGGATTAAGAGACATATTGGCATTGGAAAAAACAGACAATCGAATGCCTTTAAATGCCAATGAATTCCGTTTCTTTCCTGAATCCCCTTTAATGCCCTCTGTAGATTATAACTTGATTAGTTTCAATCCTTTTGAATCCATCAAAATTTTATGTAAAGTTTGAATGCCGTTCAATGCCTAACTAAAAATAAAAAGTTGAATGAAGCCAATGCCATCCAATACTATTTGCTTTTAATCCCTTTCAATTACCTTTTTAAGTATGAATACCCTAACAGATGAATTCTTTTTAATCCTTTTTACAAAACTATTAATTTTAATACCTTTTAATGCCTTGTATGTAAGATGATGTGGAATAGACGAATGCCATTGAATGCTTATTTTGAGAAATTAATTTGAGTACTATTTAATGCCATTCAATATAAAAAAAAGAGTTAAAAAGCGAATGCTAAATAATATTTTTATTATTTATGTAATTAATGAATAGTAATTTATAATTAAATTATTAAAATAAATTTTTAATTGAAAAGTTTAATTCCTATAAAATATTGGAATAATTGTTTTTTAAACATTTAATCACAAAAATAATACATACACGGAGAGAAATCTGCTGCGATTTTTGCTTGGATGAGTAAATTACTTTAATTACATGGCACGACACTTGCATTTTTAGCATAAATTCAAGTATTTATTGTAAAAATAGTTTCTAAGCAAAAAACACAAGTCACGGGTGTTAATTTTGCATGAATTTCACATAAAAACTGCAAAGGGGACATGCCATAAAAGTATTAGATCCTCTCTTATAAAATTTAATATAAAAATAATACTCATACCCATACTATAATAACAAATATATAAATACAATGAATAAATATAATTATAAATTTATACAAATGTAATTAATATTAAATTTTTTAATTGTTTTTTATTTTTAATAGATTCTGTTTTTAAAAGAACAAATAACATTTTAGCTAATAAATATTTAAAAATTTTAGTATTTAAAATTTTCTATTTTACTGTTTAATAAACATTCACTTATTGGCAACAAATATTTTAAAAAAATTTTTAAATAAAATTATTTTAAATTTCGCGGTTAAAAACGCATAGTAAAACACGAGCGTGCGCATTGTGCGTTCCGTTCCTCGGAATCACCAGCATACAATGATTGTGTGTGTGAAATGCTGTGTGTATACGGAGGTAAGATTGTGTTGTATAAATTCCACCTGAAAATCAGATGGCATTCTTGCAAATTTTATAAGAGAGGATCTAATACTTTTATGGCATGTACCCTTTGCAGTTTTTATGTGAAATTCATACAAAATTAACACCCGTGACTTGTGTTTTTTGTTTGATACACTCCATTACATTAAATACATGAATTCATATTTAAATTATTCCAGTCTTAAGCTAAAATTGTATCGAAAAATGACTTATGAAATTAATAAAGACTGCACAAGCAAAAATCGCAGCAGATTTCTCTCCGTGTAGATTTCATAAAATATATTTAACAAATAAATAATTACACAGGTTTGAAAAAGTTCTTTTTAAATGTTTTAAATTTTATTTTGTATAATTACTTAAAATAATTTTGCTTTAAAAATATATGTTTTATGTTGTTTATTTTTATTTATATTATAAAGACATTTTAGCATTATATCATTTTATTTTGTTTGAAAAAAAATTTTTAATTTAAAAATAAATTAGTTCTATATAAGTTTATCATTTTTATTGTAAAAGATACAAATATAAATTTATGAAATCGCATATAAAAATACAATAAGTTTCAAATTCGCAAAATAAGTTATTCAAAATCATTACGTATACAATCAATTTAAAACTCACAAAGTCATTAATTTAAAATTATTTTAAATTAAACTATTGTGCCTCAATTGTGTTTGGAATGAGGCTCCGACCGTTGAAGTGCACGAGGCATTAGAAACAAGGAACCTGGTCGTCCCGGAGACGGTTTTTCGGTGTTCACGTTCGCTTAACGCGCTGGGTTCCTTGTGATTGGTTAATTACAACGGAAAAATTACATTCTGATGGATTCAACTAATCACAACTGACGCGCATGACGCAATGTTTCACCAAAGATATTCACGCAGACAGACGCAGAAGTAAAAGCACGCGCGCACTGCAGAGACAGGATAGGTTGCTTCATACCTAGCCTTACCTTGTTACTTGATAGCAACCGGCGCGGCATGCAGCATGAAAAGTAAATTTTTCGTTGTTTGATTACGTGTTTGTTCAGTGAAATTATTGTTTTCTATTTGAGTTGTGTAAAGTTATAAACGCGTTAAAAAATGTTTGCAAATGTTTTGTTACTTTCTTGTAATTTCAAAAAAAATCTCTCAAGTGAAGGATACAAAGAAGAAAGCATTTGCAGGGAAAAACACGAGAAGTGTTATCGGTACTAGGCTTGAAATTGAAAGTGAGAATAGTGCTAATGGACAAATTGTTTCTGATGTCGATCAACATGAGCTCTCTTCTCAAGAGGATTCGCAAATATCTGCTAATATTGATCCACTCTCTAATGATGATTTACAACAGCTTCTTGCAGACGAAAATGTGCAACAGCTTCCTGCTGACGACAATTTGCAAGAGATAATAGATTTCGAATTTGTTCCGTTTGAACAAAGGGCAGTAGTAACAGAAGAAGTTACAGAAGCGTTACAAGCTTAAATTAAGTTTTTTCGTTCACTGTTTTAAAATTTTATATTTTGTCATAGATTAAATCATCTTTGTTTTATATTTTGTACTACTATATCGAACATGTTATATCACGACATACAACAAAAATTGTATGCAATACCACAAAAGATTTTAAGTCTAGTCAATTATTATTTAATAATAAAAAATAAATGATTAAAAAATATATTTGCCATGGAAAAATATTTCTTTTTTTGTAATTAATTTTAATTTGTTTTTATTCTTTCTAATTTTTATTCTATATAGCGTAAGAAAAAAATGGTATTAGTTGGCATTAGAAAACATTCATGTGAATGCTATTTAATGCCGTTTAATGCCGTTCTTTCATTTATTCCTTTTAATGCCTTTTAATTCCCCATAATACACTTGTAGGGATTCAAAAGTATTCGGAAGAAAACGGAATTAAAAGGCATTAAAAAGTTTCAATACATTTCAATGACATCCTTCTTGCCGGGTACTTTTACGAACATACATTATTTTTTTCAAAATAAGTGCGCCATATTAAATGGAAAATTTTGAACTTCTGACATTATATATTAACAAATATAGAAAATCTAGATTTCCAATTTTATTTATTACAATCCTACACGGAAAGGAAAAATCCATAGAATATTTTAATATTTGTATTGAAAAGTTGGACGAAATTGGATAATTTTATTCTAAATGAAAAATATCATTCACTATTATACAAGTTCTTTCAGCGTGTGTTGTACAGTTAGTTGGTTAGGGTTGCGATCTATCAGTTTTAGGGTGTGCGTTCAATTCCTAGCGTGCGAAGACTTTCTGTTAGGTACGTTATTATTAAGTATAAATAACCGTTAGCGATTATAATGTATATAAGTAATGAAGGAAGAACAAATTATGAGTGTAATATCAAGATATATGGTGCTTCAATAAATTATAATTGCAAATTTTAATAAATTTAATGTATGAAAAAATTACTATACTGTCTTAAAAATGTTTTGAGCAATATGAAGATTCAACAATTTACTATCAAGTTAAATATTTATATAATTTTTTTATACTGATATACAAATAGATTTCGTATTTTAATACAGTATTATAATTTATTTAATATTAATAAAAACTGTAATCATATTAATCTTTATTTTCTTTATACTTTATTATAAGTTATTTCTCTGTTAATTTAAGATACAATATGAGATGTTTTCTTAGAATGACACTTTCATCCAACATTTTAATACTCAGTATTAAAATATTTTTTAGACTTTTTCTATCCGTGTAGGTTCCCAAATTTCAAATTGCAATTTTTTTATGTCTTAAAGTTGATTTGATCAAGAATTATTAGTAGATATGTAAGGGGGCTTCTGGATAAAGCGTTGACTTTAGCTATATCCAGAAGCCCCCTTACATATCTTTGATTGCGCAATATTATTTTTTAAGTTAGGAATGT